AAAAAAAATGTGGTATTTAAACATGTGTGTCCAATTTATCTCATTTAAGAGTATAAAGACCCATTCCTTACAAGATACCTAACATAACTTAATGACATTTCTCAAAAGCCTAGTTTTTACTTCCTAGGATGCTGTTACAAAGTAAGTCAAAGATTAGTGCTTAACCATTTTTGTTTCACCATCATTTTTCAGTGTTCACAGAGAATAGACATTTTTTTTGGGGGGGGGTACCTAGGATCAAACTCTGGACCTTGCACTTGCAAGGCAGGCGGCAGCACTACTGAACTAAATCCCCGGCCCAATCTTACAAATTTTTTCTAAAAGGCTTTCTACCCTTAAAATCAAAGACATGATGGGTATGGTGGTGCACACCTGTAACCCTAGCACTGGGGAGGCTGAGGCAGGAAGATCACAAGTTTGAGACCACCCTACGCTACACAGTGAGTTCAAGGCCAGCCTGAACTCCCTACGAAGCAACCTTAACAAATTCTCATTTAAAGGCTCCTCACCAGGCATGGTGGTTCATACCTCTAATCCTAGCTACACTGAAGGCTGAAGCAGGAGAACACCAAGTTTTAGGCCAGTGTGGGCAACTTAGCAAGACCTTAAAATGAAAAGAGCTGGAATGTAGTTCAGTGGTAAAGTGTCCAAGTTCAATTTCCAGTACCACCAAAAACAAAAAAATTAAAGAGGCTTTCTAACATAATAAACTAGAGCCCTATTATATACTTATTATGAATCATAACTTAAGATTTGAAATAATGCTTCTCATAATTATAAAGTAAACATAGTCCAGATGTTGTCAACTAAGCCTTGAGCTAATCATTTTATCTTGTTATACTGTATATATTACCAACTAGAAGAGGTTGTGATATATTTATAAAAACAAAAGCTTTCATATACTTTTACCATAAGACAAATGTGATACTTAAAATAAAAGTAAAATGTTAATACCTCCTATATTCTGCTCCTCTGAAAAGGTTTAGAGGGTTTCTCCATACCTTGCATTCTGAAAAATAAGAGGCAAAATGAGAGCTTACCCAAATGAAGTTAAATCTTTATTTAACCAACATTTCCTGTCTACTTACTATATGCTAAGCACAGCAGGTATAAAGATGAAAGAAGCATGAATCACTCCTACACTCAAGAAGCAACACCATTAAATCTAGTCCCTTATTTCTGTCTCCACAGTATTAGGTTCATAACTCAGTTTTAGCATTTACAATATTACAATGTGATTATCTATTTGGTTTTCAGTTTCCCCTCTAAAATATGAACTCTTAAAACTGTTCACTTTTATATTCCTGGAGCCTACTGCACCATCTGGAACTGACTTGTTAAATTGAATTAAATATACCATGAGACGTAGTCATGTAAATGATGGCCTGAATCGTGTGACGAGTGTTATAGTAAAGGTATATTCTGTTCCAAGACAAAGCAAAGGAAGTAATTCATTTTTCTCTGGGGAAAGCAGGGAAGGCTGTGGAGGTGACATGGGAACTGACAGCGAATCACTGTAAAACATGAGTAAAAGCTGTGAGATGAAGACTCTTCCAACCAGAGGAAGTGTAAGACTGCACAGCAGCTGGGCACAGGGACACAGGCCTGTAATACCAGCACTTTGGGAGGCTAAGAGGGAGGATCACAAGTTTGTGTTTTTCCCTCTCATGTTACGTATTTTATTCCGGACTTTTTACATTGTTTTTTATTGGTTCATTTTAGATATACATAATGATAATATTCATCATACAGAATTTCTAACTACACATGATATATATGTTGTTTTCTTCCCTACCCACCTCTCCTCCTTTTGACCCCCTTCCCCTCATTTATAAAAGCTTTGTTTCCAATTTTTTTTTTGTTTTGTTCCCTTCTTTCCTTTCCCTCTCCCTCTTTCCTTGTTCCCCTTCTCATTTGAACATTTTCTTTCCATTTCCCAATATCTATTATAGATTTTGGTCCTTTTTTTAAAAAAAATATTTTTACTGTCAAACCAGTGTGTTTCTTGGTTTACTTACTTTTGGTTTCTCACACCACAGAAACAATGTGGTGTTTAAACATTTGCGTCCAATTTATATCACTTTAGACTCTCAAGGTGCATCCATTTACCTAGAAATGTCTCAAGCTTATCCTTCTTTATGGCAGAGTAATACTACATTGTAGTTTAAAAGACAACACACCTTTATCCACTCATTGCCTGATGGTCGTGTGGGCTGTTTCCAGGATTTAGTTATTTCAAACTGTGCTTCTATAAACATGGGTGTGCATATATCACTGTAGTATGCTTTTAATTCTTTCGGGAAGACATCAAGAAAGGGAAGAGCTGGGTCAAATGGAACCTCTAGTTTTAGTTTTTTCAGGAATCTCTACACTGATTTCCACAGTGATTACACCAGTCTACACTCCCACCAACAGTGGAGAAAGGTTCCTTTTTTCCCACAGTCCTGCCAGCATTTCTAATTGGTTGATATCTTTTTTTTCTTCATAATAGCCATTCTTTCTGGAGAAAGATGGAATCTCAGTGTTGTTTAAAATTGCATCCCTCAAATGACCAGTGATGTTGAACATTTTTCATCTATTTATTTGCCATTTCTACTTCTTTATCTGAGAAGTGTCTATTCATTTCAAATACTCATGTTTTGAATGGGTCTTTAAATTTGGGAGGGTCCAATTTTTTTTAATTGAGTTTATTGGTACATTTTAGGTATATAATACAGTTACATTCATTATTGGGACCTTGTACCTTTACATGACAGGTCTTGGTTCTCATTTTTTCCCCTTGTCCCTGCCCTCCCTTCAGCCCCAGGGTCCAATTTTTTTGAGTTCTTTATATACTCTCAAAATTAGTCCTCTGAGAAGAGCTGGCAAAAATTTTTCCCACACTGTGGATTATCTCTTCACTCTATTGGTGGTTTCTTTGCTGTAAAAAAGCTTTTTAATAAAATGAGAGCTCAATTGTTTATTCTCTGTGATATTTCCTGTGTGACTGGGGTTTTGTTCATAAAGTTTCTGCCTACACCAATGTCTTCAAGAGTTCTACCTATTATATCTTCCAACAGATCTAGTGTTTCTGTTTTAATAATTAGGTCTTTGATTCATTTTGATTTTAGTGCATGGTGAGAGTTAGGTCTAGTTTTAAACTTCAGCATATGGAAAGCAAGTTTTCCCAGCACCACTTATTAAAGAGGGTGCCTTTCTTCCAGTGAAGGTGTTGGGCTCCTTTGTCAAAGATAAGGTGGATGAGTATTTTGGGAGCTGTTTTTGCATCTTCTAATCTGTTCCACTGATCCTCAGTTCTGTTGTTTTGCCAGTACCATGCTGCTTTTATCACTGTAGCTTTGTGGTATAATTTCAAGTCAGGGACTGTGATGTCCCCTGCCTTGAAAAGCCCTGGTTTCAATTCCTAGTACTGTAAAACAAAACAAAACTACACAGTAATATATTAACATGTAATGGCTTTATTGTTACCCTTTAAAAATCAATAAATTATTTTTGAAATTTCTGCTTTTTAACTTTCAGTATAATAATGATGAACATAATTCCTATATAAGCATAGAATATTTAAGGTCGTCAGTAGTTTGTGAGAAGAATTCTAGCCTGCACCATAAAGCCAGAGCCTTCTCCAAAAAAGAATTCCTGTATCCAAAAAGTTTGAGAACTTATTTTTTTCCACATCAGGTCCTCAACTGATAAATACTAAGTAAGCAGTCAGTAACCACTCAGTTACATCCCCAGCCTTTTTTAAATTTCATTACATTTCATTTATTGTGAGACATTAAATTGCCCAGGCTGGTGTCAAATTTCTGATCCTCCTGTCTCAGATTCCTGAGAAGCTCAGATTATAGGCATGTACCACCACACCCAGTAATAACCATTTTACATAGTAGTAAAAAGAAAGGATATAGGAGAAGAGGGAGTATTACAGGAAGGGAATCTAGTTAAGATACTATAGCAATCATCTAGGAAAGAAATGTCAAGGGCCTAAATATGGCACGATGAATGCAGAAATAAAAGAAGGCACAATGAAGCTAATTTTTTTTTTCTGGTACCGAAGATAGAACTCAGGACCTTGTGCTTGTGAGGCAGGCATCAACACCACTGAGCTAAATCCCCGGCTCAGCTAAGATAAATTTTTAGGGCAAATCTTTACAATTGTTGGAGAAGGAAAAAGGCATAAAAGAGATATAAATTGATAGCCATGTGCAGTGGTGTTCGTCAGTAATCCCAACAGTTGGGATGCTGAAGAAGGATCACAAGTTTAAGACCAGTGTGGGCTACACAGTGAATTCAAGGCTGGCCTGGATTACATAGTGAGTCACATCCTATTTCTGAAAGAAGGGAAGGATGGAGGCAGGACGAAAGCAAATAAATAAATGGAAACAATGTCCTGGGAGTCATGGCAAATGCCTTGTCAACATAGCTACTGAAAAGATGAGACAAGATCACAAGTTTGAGCCCAGTCTGTACAACTTAACGAGACCCTGTATCAAAGAGCTAGGGACTTGCCTAGCATATGTGAGCCCCTGCGATCAATTAATCAATAGAAATGACATATAGGGGTCTATACGGAAATTGGAAGGAAGGCTATTAGAAGATACAGTAGTTTCATTTAGGACAGAGTGAGTTCAAGGTACTTAATACCATTAATGGTATAGAAAATCCAGCAAAGAGAAATATGGATCAGGAACTTAAATCAAGCTTGCAAGTAGAAGTTTAAAACTGGTCCTCCCTGGGGATTTAGCTCAGTGGTACTGCTGCCTGCCTCCAAAGCACAAGGTCCCGAGTTCAGTCCCCAGTACCAAAACACAAAAACAAAATAAAACAAAAAAAATACAACATACACACACACACACACACACACACACACACACACACACACACACTGGTCCTCCCAGCATACAGATCTGTGGTAGTTAACATCAAAGAATGAGATGGAGTTCCAGAGAGATTGTTACTCACTTTTTAGGTCAAAATCAAGCATCCCTCTCTTTTTTTTTGAGACAGTCTCATCAAGTCACTACATTGCACAGCCTGGGCTCAAACTCGTGATCCTCCTGCCTCCTAAAGTGTTAAGAAATAAAAGTGTACCACTATGCCTGGTTTATTTTTATTTTGAGATAAGGTCTACCTCAATTGTTAAGTTGCCCAAGCTGGGCTTGAACTTGTAACCCTCCTACCTCAGCTTCCCAGAGTTCTGGGATTAAACCAATGAGCCACTATACCCTGCTCCAAGAACCTCTTTTGTGAAACATTTTGTGGCCCTTCTTCCAAAAATAACTGACTACTACCTTTTTTTCCTGTCACCACAGTGTCATGTATATATAATCTATAAAAACAGTTAAGCATACTCCTTTGCTGTCAACTTATGTATGTCTGAATCTTCTACCATGCCAGACAGGGTTTTTGCTTTGTTTTGTTTTGTTCTTTTTTTTGAGACAGGGTCTCATAGCCCAGGCTGGCCTCAAACTCCCATCAGTCCTCCTGCCTCAGCCTCCCAAGTCCTGGGGTTACAGGCATGTGCCACCACACCTGGCTAGACAATTCTTAAGGTTATCTGCACTGTCATAAGTGACTTACTCCATCTTAAAATAGGGAATGAATTTATATAGGTACTGCCTTATTATTATAATTATTTACACATTGAGCTCAGATTCTTGGGGACAGATCTATGCAGTTATGTTTCAGATCTAAAATGGCTTCCAAAGCCTCATGTGTTTATGTTATAGTTGACTTGCTTTTAGGAGGTGGGGTTTGGACAAGAGGCAGACCACTGTGGGCACGATCCAGAGGATCTGTCTCCTTTCTCGGCCCCTCCCTTGATTCTTTGCTTTCTGGCTGCCACTACATGAGCAGCTTTCCTCCCTCAAGACACTTCCATCATGCTGTCAACCACAAAAGGATTAAAATTTCTAAAAAATGTGAGCCAAAATAAACCTCTCTTCCTTTAAATTATGGATGTCGGTTATTTTGTCCCAGTGACAAAGGAAGTGCCTAAGACATATATTACATTCATTTTAATCTGTCTTGTTCTTAGGAGTTCTGTAATTATTTGATGAAAAAAGGAGAGGGCCGGGGATTTAGCTCAGTGGTTCGGTGGCCTGCCTTGCAAGTGCAAGGACCCGAGTTCAATCCCCGGTACCAAAAAAAAAAAAAAAAGGAGAGAGACAAGAAAGAAAATTATTGATATTCTTTCCTGCACTCTTGAATGGCTGCTAATCCCTTCACATTAATGCTGGTCATGCTTTAGGGCTCCACTTACATGGTACTTCCTCAGGGACTTTGACCATATTTAAAAAGTACCAGTAAGTGAACTCAGGTAGTACTTTTCTACTAAACTAACATAACTCTACTAGTTGGAGTTTATTGAACAAATGAAACATTATGGGAATTTTATGGAATTAATTTGTATCATTACTATATCATTTTACTTATACCAAATGAAAGGTACAATAATCCAAAAATATAACTTTTATTTGGCTATGAAAACTTTACTTTCCTAATTATATATCATTAATATTATTTGTTTTCTATTACAGGATATAGAGGAATAGTCTATGGATTACCTACATTTATGTAAAAGAATTAGTCCTGTGTTTCAGTCTATTTGGACTGCTATCACAAAATACTGTAAACTAGATAATTTAAAAACAAGAGAAATTTATTTCTCAGTTTTGGAGACTGGGAAATCCATGATCAAGTGCTGACAGATCTACTGAAGGTGAGGATTCACTTTCTGTGCATAAATGCCACCCTCTTGCTATGTGTTCACAGGGTGGAAGAGGCAAACAGCTCTCTGCAGTCTCTTATAAGGACATTATCCCATTCATGAGGGATGATCTCATAACCTGATAAAGAGTTGAGGATGAGGTATGCAAATATGAAAATCTCTTCTAATTCAGCACAGAAAACTTTTTTTGCTTCCCCTTTTTATAAACGATAAACCATGGAAAGACAAAGAAGTGAATATCCTGATTTTTAAATAGTTCAGTCTGGAAATAAACCTGTCTCAAACTACATTAATAATACTGCGATGTTCAGCATTTATATCCCCAAACTTTTGAGCTTCTCCCCCCATGATTTGATCATCTCCCAAAGGCCTCACCTCCTAACACTGTCACACTGATGATTAGGTTTCAAAGTATGAGTGAGGGGGCACACAAACAGTCAGACCACAGAACTGTGTTGCTCTGAGTTTATCTCCCATAGTCAACTCAATCTTAAAAATACAGCTGTGAGGGCTGGGGATTTAGCTCAGTGGTTCTGCTGCCTGCCTTGCAAGCACAAGGACCCGAATTTGATCCTCAGTACCAAAAATAAAATAAAATAAAATAAAATAAAAAAAATACAGCTCTGAAAACACACTGAAGAAAATCACCTGACAAATTGTGTCTGCTGGTTTCACCTTCTCTGTTGCTAGGTGAACCTGGCTCTGAGATGCTGCTTTCTGTTCCTCCCATCAGTGGTCGCAAGTGGTTTATAGATACTTGCTCAATAAAAGATGTACCATGCTTATGGAAGTACCACCACTCAAATATCTATGACAAAAAGAAAACATCTTTCATTTAAAACAGAATTTATCAGCATATAAATGAACTCAAACATTCTCTCAAGATGATCCTGTTCAGACAAGTATGAGATGAGAGGAAGGGAATAAAGGGGGAGGGGGTAAAAAGGAAGGATGGGTAGGATCAAAATATGTTACATACATGTAGGAAAATACCACATCAAAACACAATATTTTGGGGCCAGGGATTTAGCTCAGTGGTTCCGCTGCCTGCCTCACCAAATGCAAGGTCCGGAGTTCAATCCCCAGTACCAAAAAAAAAAAAAATCCCACAATATTTTTATAAAATTAATAGGCACAAATAAAAAAACACATTTAAAAGAAGATTTTCCTGTTCAATTCAGAATTTTAAATGCATTATCTTTCCCTACACCAAACCCAAAATTCCCCAATAACATATGTCAAGTTAGGAGTGCAATACGTTGAGATTTTTCACAAACTTAGGCAAAACCACACATTTGTAATAAAGTATTCAAAAACATTAAGAAGTATTTAATCTGTAAATAATAGTATTATGTTACACTGTCATTTTATTCTATCTGTACCATAATTAAAAATATATTTTTAAGTAATTAGTGTAGTAAATTAAGCTCTCAACTAGAATCAGAATGCCCAAATTCGACTCCCAAGACAATAACTTATTAATGGTGTGCTTTGGACAAGTTACTTTCCTTCTAACATCTCAGAGTCTTGATGCTTCTGTCTACTAAATGTGGTTAACAAGTTATAAGAAGGTTCTTTTTGAACCAAAAAGTACTACTGTAGTAGTTATTTGGCAACATTATTGATCTAACTTAAGATAGGTTGCTTCTCAGATTGAACTACCTAAAAATCAAAATATTAATTTCTTTTGTGTTTCCATGGTTTATCACTTATAAAAGAGCAATAGTTAAGCTTAACCATCAACTTGATTGGCTTGGGAGCCATGTAGCAGGATAGTAAAGCACATTTCTGGGTGTGTCTGGTGGACCACGTATTCATGGCTTTGGGGTTTATTGACTCCTAGCCTCCCCTTCTTTGTCACTGTTCCCCACTCTGCTTCCCAGCCAACAGAAACTGGGCAGATTGGCTTCACTATGCACTTTCACCATGATGTTTCTGCCTTAGAGCCAGCCCATCATGGACTGAAACATCTGAAACATGAGCAAAAATAAACCCTTGTTCTGTGTGTCAGGTATTTGGCTCTACTGACAAAAAGCTGACCAATACAGAAAGGAACCAAAAGTAGCCCTCTATGTGGAACTAGTAGAAATTTTCATACTTCTACACTTCAACCTTCTCCACTGTTTATGCCAGGTTCCTTTGCATTTCAGCTTAAATGACATTTCCTCAAGGGAACTTTTCCAAAATCCGCAGAACAGAACTGAAAGCTGTGTTATGCGCTTCCATTGGACTTTGTTTCCCTTTCACAGTAATATTTTAACTTAGGATAATTGTTGCTCAATTCTTCAAGCCCCCAAGCAAACTCCCCCTTGACAAAGAAGTGACACATGCAGCACAAGAATCTTCCCCGACAGTTCGCATGCCTTTTTCTGCTTCATTTCCCCTTACTAATAGTAAGAACACATTCAATGTTTTATTTTTATTTTTTACTCTCCTGTTATAATGTAAGCTCCATGAGGACAGGAATTTATTAGTTTTATGTACTACTATCTGTCCAGTGCCTTAGAACAGTGATGCCTTAAAACAGTGATACTCAATACAAATTGTCAAATGAATGAATCAATGTCTATAATCACTTTCTAGACTAAATTCCATAAAAGCAGAATCTGTCTGCTTACCATGGTATTCCCAACTTCTAGAATAATATCTGACATAGAAAAAGCTCTACGTTTACTTTATTTGGTAAATGAAGACATTAGAAAATTTATAGACCATTTTCCTTAAAAAGTCCACTAACATACTATTCTCCTGACAAATGTAGTGGACAAATGTATCTTTACTTAACAAATAGACATGTATTCATACTTAAGAAATTTTAATATTTTAAAAAATTATTATATATGACCACACAGCAACACACAAAAATGCAGAAATTTTCCAACCTCTAGAAATATTATTTTTGCTTGAGTAAATTATAGAATAAATCTGACAAACAGAAGCCAAAAGTATGAAGTCATTCTGTATAATATTGTGGCCCAATGACTAAAGGCTACAATATATAAAAGTGCTTGAAATGCAAAGTACTGCTTTTTTTCCTATTATGACACTAACATTTTATGCTCAGTCTAAAAATAGCTTCCTTCTTCTCTGCTCACTCTCCCTGAGTTAACAAGCAATTAATCCCAACTGTGGTCATGGTTTGGCTTCTACTAGGTGTTTTATTAAGAAATGTGATAAAACTTCTTTACATTTGTCTCTGTGTGTGTGTGTGTGTGTGCGTGCATGTGTGCATGCGTGTGTGCGTGCGTGTGTGTGGTATGGGGAATTTAACTCAGAGCGTCACACATGGTAGGCAATCTATCAACCACTTGCCCAGCCTAAGGGATCAAATTTCATGAGACAGAAAAGATTTAAATTGAACAAATCTTGGATCAAAAAAAAAAGATCAGGGCTAGGGATGTACCTCAGTGGTGTGGCACCTACCTCACAAGAGCGAGGCCATGAGTTCAGTTCCCAGTACCAAAATAAAAAGATACAGTGGTAGAGTACTTGCCTAGTACAAGATGCTGTAGGTTTAATACCTAGTGATTTTTTTTTAAAGGCGAAATACTGTCAAAGACTTGCATGCAATCAGAGGGCAACAATAATAAACTGCTCTTCACTATATGAAATGCAGGTGGTTTGTTTTATTTATTTATTTAATTTTTGAGGGGTTTTTATTTTTTTGAGACAGGGTCTCACTATGTAGTTGAGACTGACCTGGAACTCACTATGTAGCCAGGCTGGTCTCAAACTCACAGTGATCCTCCTGCCTCAGCCTCCCGAGTGCTGGGATTACAGACATGCACCACCACACCCAGCTTAGATGGTTTTTATTAAGAGCCTTTGGACCATTTAAATCAACTTTTTTGGTACTGGGGATCGAACTTGGGTCCTTGTGCTTGCGAGGCAGGCAGCAGAACCACTGAACTAAATCTCCAGCCCTTAAATCAACTTTTTAACAGAAATAAACAATAATGATAATAATTGCTGAACTGGAGACATAGCTCTGTAGTGGAACATTTACCTAGCATGTGCAAGCCCTGGGCTCAATCCCCAGTACCACACATACATACAAAAATAAATAATAAATAGCTAATATTTATCAAAAGTTCTCTATGAGCTGGGTGTTGTGTGTATGCCTCTAATCCCAAGTACTTAGGAGGCTGAGGCAGGAGGGTCACAAGTTTAAGGCCAGCATGGCCAACTTAATAAGACCCTTTCTCAAAATAAAAATTTGAGAAGGGCTGGAGAAGTAGCTTGGTGGCAATGTTTGCCTAGCATGTGTGGAAGTCTGGTTTCAGTCCTACCCAAAAAAAATATTTCTATGAGCCAAGAATTATGCCAAGTCTTGTAAATGCTTTATGTTGTTTAATCCTCACAACAGCTGATTTTGGAGAGGAGGAATATATTCCAAATTTAAATAACTAGCTCTAGTTCATACCACTGCTCAGGTGCAGATTTGAGTTTCTTATTCAGTTTATCTAACTTCAGAACTTCTAACTATACTTCTCAAACATATGTCAGAGTGTATATATCTATATTTGTGTGTATATCAAGTAAAATAATGTCAAATATATATCAGAGATATGTATATCTATGTGTTTAAGTGTACATGTTCCAAATGTTCAGGTAGTAAAAACAAAACTATAAATACAACAATTTTTGCTAATAAAAACCCCTCAATACTGCACACATAATGATAGTTTAGCCTTAAAATGTTACTTGAGGCCATATTTAGTTCAGGGGTTCTGCTGCCTGCCTCACAAGTACAAGGTCCCAGGTTCCATCCCCAGTACAAAAACAAACAAATAAAATGTTACTTGAATTTCTGAATTTTTGTATATTGAAAACCACATCTAAAAAGAAACAAAGTTGGGCCAGGGATTTAGCCCAGTGGTTCCACCACCTGCCTCGCAAATGTAAAATCCCAAATTGGATCCCCAGTACCAAAATAAATAAATAAATAAATAAAAAGAAACAGTTTCAAACCAGTTTTAGACATCATGTATCTATTGATATATACAGATGCATGATATCCCACTTTTATGAATGAGGAAATTATTTAGACAGTTTATGCGAGTTGCCCAAAGTTAAGTGTCAGTCAACAACTCAAAATCATATCTTCTGGTTCCAGTGTTTTCCCCTTATTTCAACTATTTACAAAGATTGATCCCTCCCCTTGTACTGGGATTGCACCCAGGGTCTTTGCACTGAGCTACATCCCCAGGCCTTTTATGTATTTATTTATTTATATATTTTTTTAAATTTTTGAAACAGGGTCTCAAGACTAAATTGTGCAGACTAGGCTCAAACTTGCTATCCTCCTGCCTCTTTCTCCTACAGTGCTGGGATTACAGGTAGGCACCACCACACCCTGCTTAGTTTATTTTCTTTAGATCTTAAATATATGCTATCGACTATGCTAAGATATGCTTCACCATAAGTGGACTTTATAAAGCAATAAATTGTGAGACTCATATTAACATTTAATTTTCAGTCTGAATTCCTCAATAGTTTTTTTTAAGAGAAAAATCCCTTTCTTTTACATTTCACTTTAACAAGATGCTCAGCATTAGTACCTGTTTAAAAAACAAAGTCCAGTGCCAGGTGTAGTAGTGCATGCCTGTAATCCCAGTACTCGGGAGGCTGAGGCAGGAGGATTGTGGTGAGTTCAAGACCAGCCTGGGCTACACAGTGAGTTCCAGGTCAGTCTCAACTATACTGTGAGACCCTGTCTCAAAAAAAACAAAAAAACAAAAAAACCAAAGTCCAACACAAATGCTATTATTTTTACTAAAGACGGAGGGCACCACCTACAGATGAAAAAAAAGAACAGAAAAATCCAAGGACCATACATGGAATACTACTTAAGATTTGTATCCGCAGCTACATTTTTCCAAAATGTATACTAGGAAACTCTAGATGCTAGGGATGTTAATGGGGATTATAAAAATTTTAAAATATTTTAAAATGTTATCTTGCTCAAGCAAAAGCTGAATTAAATAGGTTTCCATACTGTAGGAGTCTCTAAATAATAATGGCCAAAATTCACTAAGTGCTCACTGAGCTAGCTACCATGTTACAAGCTTTTACACACACTAACTCATTTAGTTATCATAATTGTTCAAAATGGTACTATTATTTTCCTATTTAGAAGAGATACTCGGGCTTGGAATAATTGTAGACTGAATTCCAGACATATAAATTTTCATCTGTCCAATGTTGCTACAACTGAAATATTGGGAGATTTTATATACAAACTATATGTCCAGGTTCTCTTGAAAAGATCTGAAAAATTGGAACACCTGGTAATACCAGTCATAGGTTTGCATGGCAATAATTAGCTTTACCCCCTTTTAGAAAGGATATGCACTTTCCAGATTATCCAGTTCCCAAAGCAAATGATGAATTTATTCTTATATTCTTCCCTTTTATTCACTTTTTTGTTACTAACCAAGGGCCTTGAGGCATTAAATTTCAAACCCATCCCTGGTAACAGTATACAAGACTTTAATATGCAACAAATATTGCCAATCTCTAAAAGTACAGAGAGAGATGTACTCTTCCCCAAACTTGTTTGACTAGGTAATGATTTTTTCAAGCGTCTAACACATTTTAGAAATGCTGATATATAAATAAATTATTGTAACCATATAAAAGACCTTTGGATAAATATCAAAACATCAATTTAAAAAATGTAAACTACTTACAAATATCAGTCCTGAAATCAAAGAAGATGTCCCTGTAAGTGCCACATAGAATTTGGGTGTCAGTGAATTTAAAAATCCTGTCACTGTTAAAAGAAAAAAACATCAAAGTTTAAAAAAACACAAATTGAAAGTGCTTAAGTTATAAATATGTAGGTATCTTTGAGTGGAGAAACACTAGTGGACAGATGCTCCTCAACTTAAGAGGGTAGATTTTGATAAACCCTTTGAAAATTGAATAGCATAAATTGAAAGTACATATGATATCCCAAACCTTCCAAATATCATAGCTTCCCAATGTAATACACTGCATTGTTTATCCTCCAGATTGTGTATCTGACTGCCCAGGATTGGACAGGAAAACATCAAAATTCAAAATTTCTACTGAATGCATATGGCTTTTGTTCCACTGTAAAAATTGAAAAAGTGTAAATTGAGCCACCTTATGAAAATTCATTCAGAAGTATAATTTTAAAAACTGCTATAAATTCCCATTGTATCATGTCTTAAAATTTCATTCACACATGTAAAGGTAGGATTTCACACTGTTGATTAGTTAAGTAAGAAGCAAATTAAAACGAGTCTTAGGGTAGGCTGGGCATGTAACTCAGTGGTAGAGTGCTTGCCTAACATCCATGAGGTTCTCGTTTCAATCCCCAACACAAGATAAATGAATTAATGTTTAAATAAAAACAAAATGAAGCTTAGTAAGTGCAAGGCCCTAGGTTCCAGCCCTAGCATCAAAAAAGCAGGAAAGAAAAAAAAGAAAAAGAAAGAAAAGAAAATTGAGGGGCTGGGATTTCAGCCGCCTGCCTCACAAGCGCAGGGACCGGGGTTCAATCCCCGGTAAAAAAAAAAAAAAAAGATGCCATGAAAAGAATATTGAAGGCTGGGGATTTAGCTCAGTGGTTTTGCTACCTGCTTTGCAAGTGCAAGGTCCTGAGTTCGATCTTCGGTACAAAAAAAAAAAAAATTTTTTTTTAGATCATTTCTCTTGCCTTTGAACATAAAACCTAAAGCACTTATACGTCATAATTTAGAATTTTTGCAAAACTCTAGGAAGTTATCAAACCAAGGAAGTTTTAAAAACACTCAATTACTTTGATGAAATACAAACGAATGTTTCAAATGGGAAAAAAAACAGTATGAGGGCTGGAGATTTAGCCCAGTGGTTCGGTGGCCTGCCTTGCGAAGCGCAAGGACCCGAGTTCAATCCCCGGTACCAAAAAAAAAAAAGTGCGAGCTCTCTGAAACTGTTTTACTAAAATCCTTGATCTGACTCTTCACTTCAAACAACTGTCTTAGTACTTTGGATTTTTAAAGTAATGAAAATGTTTAGTAGTCAACTACTCTCATCTAACTGGTGCATCTAGTTAACACGTAGAAAATTTTTTTAAAACTCAATAACATTTTGCTGAGCATACAAACTGCCATTAAGCCATTCACCTGTTACAGACACAAAATTATTTCTTTAGCCTGTTTTAGTATGCCAGTTAAATCTGACTTTACATTGCATCTACCTTCAAAAACTCTTAATATATTCCAGAAGTTTATCTCAGTCTTTCACGTCTGGCTACAGAAAAATTAACCACTGCACTGATTCAAGTGATCACTCCACAAAAAACTTCCATCTTGTTCTCAGGCTGCTGCTCGCAGCACGAGTGAAAGAAATGTAATAACACTCGTATGGGCCCCAACCACTTCATCCTGTCTACAACTAAAGACCAGTAGTTATTTGTAGAACCCATGAAAACCAACACTTCGACACTTCTTTGTATCTTTAGCCTAGACTACATAACGTGTGCAAAGCCACCGGTATTTTCTCCTTCACTATCCTACAACGATCCAATTTATTACTCAAGATGAAGCCTAAAAGAACTGATAAAAATATCACAAAACTACATAATTCTTAACAGAACTATTTTAAAACAAAGAGATGGTACGCTAAGATCATGGCATTTTCTGAGATCACTGTATTACAGATGAACGTGTCTTTGTCGTCTTAGGCGTAGGTTTATCTTCGCTAAGCAGGAACGATTTTCAAGGGACCAACAAAAGGTGAAAGTGCATATGGATTCTGTATACAAGTCTGAGAATGCTCTTTTCTGTCTGTCCTACCACCGGAAGCCTACAGTTTATCAGGTGGCATTTCCTGGGGGTAAACCGGGACAGCTCAGAGAGGGCGGATCTTAGGAGGTCTAGGGAGGAGCCGTTAGCGGCATTTCGGGTTTGACAATCAGCTGCGCGGTTGTGGCCTAAGAAAAAAAGAACACACGGATTCGCGCAACACCGACTCCTCCAAACCCTCCAGGGTTCCCGAGACTCTCTGTCCTCTGGCGCTCGCCCCCCGGCACCTCTCCCAGGGCCCCCCGCCCGTCCCCGGGAAGTCTGGGCTTCTCACCCGCTGCCAAGTGCTCACACAGCCTCAGCGGGACCCTCAGAGCGTAAAGCAGCCCCAGCCCCGCCACGAACCACAGGGAGGCCCCAGCCCCTGCCAGCCCGGCTCGCAGACGCTCCTTCCAGCCCAGCGGCGGGCTTAGGCCGCGAGCAGGTGCAGAAGAAAATGCAGCGGCGGCCGCAGCTTCGCCCAAGTAGTTCCTGTCCGCCATCTTGCCACTCCCGCGGGCGCCGGCAGCTGGGAGGGGAGAGCGGCAGGAAACCCGGAGTCGGGAATCCTGGGATAGCGACGGGCCTGAAGTTGGCTCCGTAGAGACTGAATCCTGGGGATCCCCACCGCCAAGACCTAGAAATTGGTGGAGCAAGTCCCAAGCCTTTGACAAAACTACTCCTCCCGGGCGGAGGTGGGGGTTGATAGCGGCACCTGTCCCGGAGGGTTTGGAGTAAGATGTGACGCTGAAGGGAAGTGGTTTTGCTTCTGTACAAGTTGAGGTCACCTTTCACCCTATTCCCAAAGTTTGAAAAGCTATCGGTCGTTCCAGGGGCTGAGCAGCTTTTAGCACTTTGGACTCGGCTGCCACGAAGATTAATGGTACCAGGAAATTTTAGAGGAGTAACAATAGCTTTTCGACTGGATGGAACCCACATCACGACCAGTCCAAACACGCTGCAAACATCCAACAGATGAAATGGTAAATGACTGTAACTCAGGGAAATAATTATCTGAGGGGAAAGCCGACTTCCTGGGGCGCGGGACCTCGAAACCGTCGGCCCGGCGCGCTCTACTGACATGGCGCCCTCGCGGTCGCCGTTTCCGGGCGGGTCCTTCCGACGCTGATTCCATCACTCCCTTCCTTCCCGGCCTGCCTCGCGCCCGCAGCCGGGCTGGGCCAGAGCTGCCCAAGATGGCGGACTTCGAGGATCGGGTGTCCGATGAGGAGAAGGTAAGGGGGTCCGCCTGCCTCTCTCACCTCCTCCCGCAACAGGGTATAAGGGTGTGACCCAGCTGCGGCGGGAAGCCTGGCCGTGTCTTCAGGAAAAAAAGAGGTTCTTGCTCGAGACGGCATACGTTCTCTGCAGTCGGGACACTTCCCTTTTAAGGGGTTTTCCTCTGCCTCACGGTGGCCCCAGTTCTCCATTCTTCAAGTCGGTTCCTTTCCTTCTGGATCTGAGGCACAGCCTTCTTGCAGAGAAGAGGCTTTTCCCTTATTGAATCTTGACTGTAGACTCTTCTGTAATTTTAAGATGGGGCAATGGTGATGTCGCTACTTATTAAGCAGCGGTTATTTTACCGCCTTTAGGCTGTTGGGTCTCTCGCCCTCCCCCCACCCATTTTTAGGTGTGTTTGGAGCCAGTTTAGGGCGAGTCACTTCCTGGTCTGGGTGGCCTCTAAACTTCCCTTTTGCTCCTCCTTCCTCAGGAAGTGATCTTTCTGTCACGACTGTTCGACTGGGAGAGGTCCCCACATGTTCATCTTACTGCACATCCACTTTTCTCACGTTCTATCGGTTAAACTAGTTGGCTTTAATAAAGGCTCAGAGCATTCACTTCAGAATTTGAACACCACTCTTCTGCAGGTGCTTCTTTGATTGTAGGTACATGGACCTCCGGGTGACTCCGTCCCTCGCGTCTTGTCTTAATGATATTTTTAAAAACACTTTTCGTCTTCTTGTTAAGAAATTCGGAATAGCCAGTGGATTTTTTTTTTAAATCTCCAGGTTTTATATAGCACATAATTACCATATTAACACATTCAAGTCTGGACCAAAAAAAAAAAGCTGCTTGCTTTCTTTGGTGCCCTACGGAGTTGGATCTTTCACCGTGGAATTTCTGTACTTATCTCTTTAAAAATGACTTAAATACAAGAGCATGTTGTAGTTAGACGGAATAACTATTTTCCTGACAACTACATACCTTTTAAAAACAGTTTGTCGAGCTTATCAAGCTTTTCAGTAAATACAGCATTTTAGGGCCTGTAGAAATTACTTTCACCAGATAATTCCTTGTCACCTACGGTGGCTGTTACAAAGTGTGCATCCTTGATTGTTCTGCAAATCTGAGTTCTTTTTATTATAATAAGAATAGATTGGGAGCCAGACGTGGTGGCGCACTCCTGTAATTGCAGCACTTGAGAGACTGAGGCAGGAGAATTGCTGGAGTTTGAGACCAGCCTGAATTACAGTGCAAGACCCTATCTAAAAAAAAAATTGGGGGTAGAAGAAGGCACTGTTAAGCCAGGAACACATTTTGCAGAATAATTTGACCTGACATACCTACGTGTGGCATGCCATTTTGAAATACTGAGGCAGATGCTCTTTGCCCTTAAAAACCACTGAACAACAATTAGTATTAGGGCCAAGGCATGGTGGCGCATGCCTGTAATCCCAGCACTTGGAAGGCTGAGGCAGGAGGATCACTGTGAGTTTGAGACCAGCCTAGACTACATAGTAAGTTTGAAGTCAGTCTCAACTACATAGTGAAACCCTGTCTCAAAAAAATAAAAATAAAAACAATTAGCATTAGGTTTTCTCTTATTTGGAAGTTCATTCTCATAAATGTTGAAAGTTTAGGAGGGAAAAGGTATGTATGAACTGATACTGGAAAGAAAACTATAAAAAATGTCTGTTGTAAGGTAAATAGTTATGATTCAGATATATTAACAGTGAAAATCCTGAGATAAAATACTTATTAATGTAACCTGTAGTCCAGTTATTTGAAACCAAAATATTGTTAGATTTCACAAAGAAATTAGGTAAAACTGGGTGTGATGGTCCATATGTAAAATCCTGCTAGTCCAGAGGCTGAGGCAATATCAAATTCAAGGACAGTGTGAGCAATTTTAACATGACTCTGTCTCAAAATTTTAAAAATTGAGACATAGGTCAGTGGTTGAGCTCCCCTGTGTTCAATATCCAGTACCATAAAAGAAAAAAAATTAGGTAAAAATAAGCTTTTAAGTTTATTGTGTCCACATGATACACATTTACCAATTTACCAGTGTTGTTGGGTTTTTGTCTTTGACACAGGGTTAGAATGCCTTTTTAAGTAAATTGGGAAAATATATATGTATTTCAAAATGCAGGTTAAGATGCCTGGCTACTGACAGTGTTTGAATAATGCTGGTTAATACCTTGATTTTACAACAGATGTGTAATGTTTCCTCTTTTTTGTTTTTGTTTTTGCACTGGGATCGAACTCAGTACCTGTGGCAGAACCACTGAGCTAAATCCCCAACCCCTGATGTTTCCTCTTCTAACACATTTCTTTTGTTGCTTAATTTCAATGCTGTAATAAGTAAATCATAATTAGTAAGGTAAATCTGCTGAAAAGTATTAATGAATTTTATTCATACTTAGTAAAGAGTTTTTAGATTGTCTTATGTTGTCTTCATTAATGTAGATAATTAAGTATAGTTGGTATGATAGAATTCCATACGATTTTGGGATTACTGAAATGTTAGGTTCCTATTCCAAGATGAAACCTATTTGTGTCTCTCTATGAATCTATTAAGTAAAAAGAAAGGGCTTTGACTTATAAGGTACAGTATTTGAGTTTTCCTTCAGCTTCATACCTACCTGCCCCAGTCTTCTAGCCTTTAGATTCCTTTTAACTTAATTTAAGGATTGAGAAAGTACTTTTCCAACAGGACTAATTAATATATCTTAGTAGTCATAAGTGGTAGTAGCCCTTAAATGAGACCTTTGTTCTTTAAGATGTTCATAATAAAACTAACTTTAAAAATCAAAATATTTTGAGTCTCAGTTTGTATTTCAAGTTCTTGAAGGAAATCTGGAGTAAATTTTTCTTTTTTGTCTTTGTTTCAACTTCATTTGTTTTGGGTGGGTCTAGTTTTTTGAGAGTCTCATTATGTTGCCCAGCCTGGCCTCCCAACTCAAGATCCTCCTGCCTCAGCACTCCTCTTGGAGTGTTAGGTTTATAGGAATGCCCCACCATGCCTGCTGATTTGTGCTTTTTTAAGGCATATATGCCATGATACCGAATATATTTTAATTTTACTTTTCAACTTTGATAAATTCTCAGAAGACAAAGCTGTGGTAAATTTGATGATAGTGGTCTCTGAACCTTGAAGGCATTTCTATAAAAGCTAGTAAAATCCATTCTCATAACTAACTACAAAAGTTTTTATATCTTTATAAAGAGAAAGTGTTTTGTTTTGTTTTGTTTTTTTTACTTCTGCCTTGTTTTCTGAAATGGTCATGATGAGCTGTCTAAATAAAGCAGGAAGTGAAAAGTGTGATAATAGATATGAATGCTTTTAGTTTTATCCTGGAGTTCAGTTTTAGAATGAGCTCCATTCTTGTAGTCTTGTATTTGGTTCTAGATGCTTAGCAAGACCAATGTATCCTAATTAGGAAACTTGAACTATAAGATGAACTACTTATTTGGGTTCCATTCTTTGTGTTTCCTTTACTTCATGATTCAGCATTTTTAAAACATGCAAAGAGAATTTTAGGGCTGAAGAAAAATGTTTAGTGTGCTTTATTCTCTTGAACCTAGCTAGTAGAATACTTTATTTTTGTACAACTTCAAAAATACCCTAACTGAGGGCCACGAATTTAGCTCAGTGGTGCTGACACCTGCCTTGCAAGTGCAAGGACCTGAGTTCGATCCCCGGTACCAAAAAAAAAAAACCATAACTGAGAATTGGAGCTTTATGCTTTTAGTTAGATAATGGTATCAATTGTAAAGCATTGTTCTGAGAAACAGATTTAGCAAAATAATTTGGTAGAGGGCTAGGGATTTAGTTCAGTGATTCCACCGCCTGCCTTGCAAGTGAAAGGTTCTGAGTTCGATCCCCAGTACCAAAAAAAAAAATTTATTTGGTACAGATGTAGCAAATGTTGTAAATGGATGAATGAATTTGAGGGTCCTGGTAGACCTCATGAAAATATACTTTTAGAATGGATTTCTTTGAATATGTATTACTTCCTTAGTTAACTAAATAAGTTACAACTGTTCTGGAATAAACTAAGCCTAAAGTTTATTTGCCATGACAGATTTCTAACAAATCATCAACTAGCATTAATATTCTTCACTTCCTTTTAGTTTTGCTAAGTAGTCATCATATAATCTGTTGCAAAATCCTAAATCAGAAACACAGACCCTCGGTGCAAATGCAGGTGCCTAGTCTGTTTTAAGAGTGCAGGTTTATCATTATTTCTTCCAGAGTATTAAACTGTTTTATTAAAACCAGCCTTCAGCTGGAGCACATGTGTAATACCAACAGTGGGAGCCTAAGATAGGAAGACTGCATATTTGAGCACAGCCCAGGCAATTTAGCAAGTTCCTATCAAAAAAAATTTTTTTTTTTTTTTGAGGGCTGGGATGTAATTCAGTGTGAAGACCCTGGGTTCAATCCTCTGTGTCTTCAAGAGGAAAAAAAGGCCTTCATGCTAAATAAAGTAGTATAATTAGTCAGAAAATTCAAGTCCCAACTTTGTCTGATTCTGACCTCTGCTTTTTTTTTTTTTTTTTTTTTAACTATACCAACTTTTCCATGGAATAGAGCCATCCTTTAAGAAATTATAAATGAGGTGTTGTGATATAATGGAATAGGATGATTTAGATTGTTAGGAGATTTAGCCTCTCCCTGTTGTGCATTTAGCCATTTGAGTGATTTTGGAAAAAACACTTAAATGAGCCTCAGTTTTCTTCTCAAATAGGAGGCAGGCGGAATTGGATGGAACTGCCCCAACGGTTTAATGCACTTTTTCAAACTCTAATAAAGAAATCTCTATTTTTAAAATTGAAACATAAATATATTTCAGGAAGTGCTTACATTGTCTGCTTTCTTGTATTTGCCCTGATAACAAGACTGAGTTTCTTGTCTTGGAACCATGTCTTTTCCCTCTCTCTCTCTCTCTCTCTCTCTCTCTCTCTCTGTCCAAGTTTTTGTTTTGTTTTGGTTTTTTTTTTTTAATAA